CATGTAGAGAAAGAAGCAGAGATTGGAATTACATTGCCACAAGCCAAGGGACACCCAAGAGCTGGAAGAGACAAGGTAGACTACTCCTTCAGAGTCTTCAGCGAAAGCATGGACCTGATGGTACCCTAATTTTGGACTTCTAGTCTCCAGAAAGGAGAGAGAATAGATTTCTGTTGTTTTAGGCGACTCAGCTTGTGGTAACTTGTTACAGGAGCCTTAGTAACTGACATATGTCAATGGCATAAGGTTAAAGTTGCTCTCAGAGAAGCAGAGAAAGTTAGTTGAAAGATAGAAGAAGGAAGCAGGTGATCAGAGATAAGCAGTGACCAGAGAAGGAAGGAGTCCTAACCATTGTGTGATTGTCTTTAGGCTTTTTCACACACCTCTGTATCCTCCTGATTGCATGCATTTTGTTACTTCTGCAGAAAGGACTGTAAAGCATAACCATTAAACAAAACAAAACAAAAAGAAACAAGAACTGAAACTCACACCACGGAGTCGATTTTGACTCATAGCGGCCCTATAGGATAGAGTAGAACGGGCTCCACAGGGTTTCCAAAGCTGTAAATCTTTACGGAAGCTGACTCCTGCAGAGCAGCTGGTGGATTCAAACTGGTGACTTTTTGGTTAGCAGCTGAATGCTTTAATAGTGCACTATGAGAGCACCTCCTCAATGTATACAAATAGCAAAATAGAAGGACTCAGAACAACTATCGTGAAGATAATTGGATTTTGAAATAAAGTTTTATTATCAGTAGATGAGCATAGGAGAGGAGGATAGCAGCGTGAGGGCACATATCCTCCTTCTTTCATTATAATATCATTAGAACATCCTCCACCCACTATCTCTTGGGAACTCTGATAGCATAGTGCCTAAGGCACTGCTAACCAGAAGGCTGGCAGTTCAAATCCACCAACCACTCCTTGGAAGGAAGATGGGGCAATCTACTTCTGTAGTGATACTGCCTCGGAAACCCAAGGAGGGTTCGCTATGAGTCAGGTCCGACTCGACGGCACATAACAACAACAACAACCCCCTATCTCTTAAAGTGCTTGGCTGCTAACCAAAAGGTTGGTGGTTTGAATCTACCACCCATTCCATGAGAGAAAGATGTGGAACTTTGCTTCCATAAAAATTTACAGCCTTGGAAACACTATGAAGGAGTTCTACCCTGTCCCATGGGGTTACCATGAGTTGGAATTGACTGTACAGCAGTGCATTTTAGGATCTATTACCTCAGTATAGAATAGTGTGCTGCTATTCCAGAAAGAGAGGCTGGCACTGGGATTGGAGGAAGAATCATTAACAACCAGCGAAATGCTGACAACACAACTTTGCTGGCTGAAAGTGAATATGACTTGAAGTACTTACTGATGAAGATTGAAAAATACAGCCTGCAGTATGGATTACATCTCATATAAACAAAGTAAAAATCCTCACAACTGGACCTATAAGCAGCATTACGATAAGTAGAGAAAATATTGAAATTGTCAGACTTCACATTGTTTGATTCTACAATCAACACCAATGGAAGCAGGAGTTAGGACATCAAATGACGTACAGCTCTGGGCAAATTGGCTGCAAAGGACCTCTTTCAGGTGCTGAAGAGCAAAGATGTCTCTTTGAGGACTAAGGTGTGCCTGACACAAGCCACGGTATTTTCAATTATCTCATATGCATGTGAGAGCTGGACAATGAATAAGGAGGACTGAAGAAGAGTTGACGCTTTTGAGTAGTGGTGTTGGTGAAGAATGCTCAAAGTACCATGGACTCCTACAAGAACTAACAGGTCTGCTATAGAGGAAGTGCAGCCAGAACGCTCCTTAGAGGTGAGAATGGCCAGACTTCACCTCACATACTTTGGTCATGTTGTCAGAAGGTACCATTCCTTAGAGGAAGATGTCATGCTTGGTAAGGTGGAGGGTCAACAAAAGAGGGGAAGGCCCTCAACGAGATGGATTGACATGGTGGCAGTGGCAATGGGCTCAAGTATAGCAAGAATCATGGAGCTGGCTCAGGACCAGGCAATGTTTCATTCTGCTGTGCCTAGGGTCGCTATGAATTGGAGATGACTTGATGGCATCTAACAACAACAACATTCCAGAATGAAAATAAAAATCTAACTGTATAAATAATTCAAAATTACAATGTTGTTTGATAAAAATGGACACATAAACATACATTAATTCAGGTGGGTAAATTGCAAACATACATACATGGTATGCAGCTTGAGGATTATACATGTTATAACTATTCTGGACATATCAGCAGGAAAGGCCAATCACTAGAAAAGGACATCATGTTCAGTAAATTAGAGGAACAGCAAAACAATGGAAACCTCAATGAAATAGATTGACATAATAAAGTGCCACAACAATGGGCCCCAACAAATCAATGGTCGAGAAGATGGTGTAGGACTGAGCAATGTTTCATTCTGTTAAACATAAGGTCACCATGAGTTGGAGCCAACTCAATGGCAACTAACAACAACAACACTCATGGAGAAAAGTACACATAACTGTACACATAAGTGTATTGAATTTTCACAAACTGAATTAATCTATGTAATCAGCATTCACACCAAGGAACAGAACATTACAGTACGATTATTTTTTAATTTAGTACTTACTTGGAAAGTATGTATGTATGCATTTACAGTATCTAATAAGTATCTGGTGGTATAGTGCCTAAGATGTGTGACTGCTAATTCACCAGCCTCTCCTCGGAAGGAAGGTTGGACAATTTACTTCTGTAGTGATACTGCCTTGGAAACCCAAGGAGGGGTCGCTATGAGTCAGTTCTGACTCGACGGCAGTGAGTTTGGTTTTTTGGTTTTAATAAATCTTTAAATGAATACACTCACTCTGAATTTGCTTATTCTCTTTTCCCTTTCTTTTGAAAATTACTATGCTCTCCATATCTTATATCATTTAACCTTTTCCATAACCCTATTAGGTTGAATGTTATGCTTATTTTATAGGAAACTGAGGCTCAGGGGTGTTTAGTGATGTGACCAAGTTCATACAGCAAGAAATTGAACCCAGCTTTATTTGAATCACAAAGTCCACTTAACTCCTATGCCGCCTGATTTGGATAAAGTGATAGTGATAGTGGGTCATTGCCTACAAGTTTTAATTACCTAACCTATGAAGAACAGTAACAAGAAATGAGGTTATGAGTATTTAAGAAAGGCATGAAACTGCTATTATTGAACTCAGAGTGACAAAATAAAGATAGTGATTGCAGAAGAGGAGTCTAGATTTATTGAAGGACAAGGATTGGAAAGTTTTTTTTTTGTTTTTTTTTTTAAAAGAGTAGAAACTTTTTTTTTTTTTTTTAAAAAAAAGAGTAGAAATAGCATAAGGGGAGAGGATCAGGTTCATCAACAACAAAAGAAGAGTCAACGAAGTAGAAAAGGTGGATGTGAGGAGAGAAGGGAATTTAAGAATTTAAAACTTTTCCAAGTATGCAAGAGTAGGATGCAAGGGATGGTAAATACACTGCATGTGATATGAAAATCTGGAATGGAATGGTTACCTTGGGTACAATGGGAAAATAAATTGTCTTTTATACTTAAGAGTAAAATTTCATGGCCTCCTCTTCAGCTTTTATTTGTTCCCATTTAAATTCTTTTCTCTTCATTGTAGTAAAAAGACCAAAAAAAAAAAAAAAAAACCTCATAGGATGGAATAATTTATGTGCTATAAAGCCAACTGAACTCAGTGTTGATAACCCAATAAAGGATTTCATTAGAACACAGATCTGCTATTTCTTGTAGCCCCTATGCAGAAATTGTGAAATCTGTTTTTACTTTTTAATCATTAGTAGATAACCTAATAAGTTATGATGGTCCTTTCTTTCTATTTTCCTTCCTTCCTTCCTTTTTGCTCCCTTCCTATCTTCCATTTCTTCATTCTTCTTTCTTGTCTTTGCTGTAGGTAAGAATGATAGGAGCTGATTTCCCAATATATTGAATAATGCTTTTAATTAAGTAACAGACTCTGAATAATAGAACACATCTTAATATTAGGCATATTTTATAAATGTATCTCTTTATCTGATACTGATAAACACCCACTACCCCTTGGGCCCTGACCTGTTTGTTCAGAGAACAATTTGTTCTAGCTTTAGATTCAATAAATGAATCACCAAGGTGTCCTAGTACATATTAGACACTATTAAATACATTGGACAGTTTTAAACAGTGGAGTCTTTTATCTAGGCAAATAATTCCTGATTAATTCAATCTAAACATGCTCCCCCCAAATACATTTAAATGTATGCAAGTTTATTACTACCATGAATTTATAAACGTCATATTCCAGTTTAAATTATTAACTTAGATTTCTTTCCTTTAAAATATAAAGTTGCCACATTCATTTTTTTTCTTTCTAATTTAATCATTTCTGATCTTGAAAGAAAAAATCAATATATTTTATGCTCTAAGGTCTGTATTTATCACACTCAACTTTCCTGCACTTCCCAACCAAATAAAAAAAAATAGCAAAAAAAGCAAAGAAACAAGCTGAAGAAATGGGAAAGAGAAAAGGAACTAAGGCACCATAGTTTGACATGGTTTCGTAATAGTAGAACAGAAATTATTTTAGCAGAATCATGGCATTATATAGGAGGATCTTTTAGAGTTTGAGTAATCAATAAGAAATATAAATGTATTCAATATATGTTCCACTAAAGAATTCATGAGCTCTGGTGGCGTAGTGGAAAGGCATTTTCCTCCTAACCAGAAGGTTGGTAGTTCAAACCCACCAACTGCTTTGTGGGAGGAAGATGAAGCAATCTACTTCCATAAAGATTTACAGCCTTGGAAACCTAATGAAGGTCACCATAAGTAGGAATCGACTCCATGGCAGTGGGTAAAGATTTCATACATTTTAATGTAAATTGTATGGCTTATAACAGACATGCACTCCTTTAATAACTATTCTGTAGAAGGAAGCAGTTACTAAGAGTTACAACATTGCTGTTGCTTCATACTCACAGCGACTGCTTCCAGGATTTGTTTAACAGCATCTGCAGCATCTCGCTCGCTATAATATCCCTTTTCCACAATCCTAGAAGAAACATGGAAAACTCCTCAGACACATGCATTCAGCCAAGTGGATATTCAAAAAAGTTAATTAAACAATGGACATTTAAGCAGTTGCAAGAGACTATCATAATGGCAGGGAAAAGATTTCCATTAACTAACATTCTAAAATTTGGTTTATTTAGCCTTAAGACTGTCCAATCTGTTTGAGAAGATAAATTAAAAAAAAAAAAATTAACAGTATATTAGAGATCATTTTATACATATACAAAGTAGACATTATATAGCAAACCAAAACATAATAAAACCTGTTATGGTTGGTCAATTCTAACTTATGGGGGCCTCATATGTTATAAAGTAGAAATCCTCCATACTATTTTCTTGGCTGTCATCTTTATGCAAGCTGACTACCAGGTCTTCCTCCTTTAGTGGCTCTAGGTAGGTTCAACTAAGAACCTTTAGTTGTTGAGTGTAAACCATTTGCACCATTCAGAGACCTTATATGTTGTCATTATCATGTGCCGTTCAGTCAGACCTGACTCATAGCGACCCCTCCTTGGGTTTCCGAGGTGGTATCACTACGGAAGTAGATTGCTCAACTTTCTTTCCAAGGAGTGGCTGGTAGGTTTGAACTGCCAGCCTTCTGGTTAGCAGTCAAGTGCCTTAGGCATTACACTACCAGAGCTTATATAGCAAATGTAATTTATAACAATTTCAATGATTATTAACTGATGGCCAATCCTGTTTTATCTTTGTACTAAATTACTTATCCTCCTCTTTTACTATTTTGAAGCAAATATTAAACATCATATAACCTTATTCATAAATATTTAAGGAAGTAATTCTAAAAGATAAAGAATCTTTTCTAAAAATCATGATCACATTGCTACTATCATATTCATGATTACAAAAATCTTTTAATGTTAATCAAATATACAGTAAGTTTCTAATTTCCTATTGTTTCGGATATGCTAAAATTGTTTCCTCTGTTTGTTTGGATATGTACCCAAATAAGATCCATACAATTTGATTGGTTGAGATGGTTTGTACTGTGTTCTCTTTTAATCTATTAATTCTTTCTCTCTCCCTCATTTTCTCCCTCCCTTCCTGCCCTCTCTCTGTCTCTCAGTTTCTCTCTCTCAACCTTGATCTTGAGTGTATCCCACACCATGGAAATCTAATTCTATTCCCTGAGTATCTCTGAAGATGTTTCTCTGACCTCCTATTAATGAGTTAATGCTAGGATCTTGATCAGATTCAGACTGATTTTTTAGCAAATATACTTTATAGGCCATATTATATATGTCCATGACAGGTCATACGTCTGTTTGTCTTCCTTTCTGGGTTAACAGCAGTTGATTATCAATGCCAAGATTCATTAAATTATCAGAGGCTTCAGACTGATAATTTCTAATTCTACCATTCCTACTTTATTAGTTGGAAAATTTCTAGGATACGTTCCTATAGAGGGAAGGCAGGATAGAGGCTCAATTATTTTATTTGCCAGTTTTCAACATAATGAGTTAGGTCATCAACATATTCCAAAAGTGACTAATTAGTGTTTTCATTTGTTTGCCTGTTTTTGTAAATTTTAAGCTTATGTTAAATATATTTTCAAACATATAAATCAGTTCAAAAGCATATATTTGATATGTTTCCATCTTTTCCTGATCTTTTTCTTATTGATATGCACACTGTCTCATTTTGGGCAAGCAGTAGCCTATTGAAATTGACTTTGAACATCTTTCATAACTCTCCTTCTGTTTAGAATAAGAAGATATTCCAGACTTATCTTACATATTTGTTGCCTCAGACTGGGAATCAACCATTTCTCTAAGGGATGTTGTTCTCAATTATGGGAAATAATATTGAGAGATCAAAATCTGGGCACTCAAAGTGTTCACTGCTACTGAGTTGGTCACTATTTAAGGCCTTTTTAGGGGAAATAGCTCAGGAATGCATTGTTGATTGATTTTTTAAAATAAACTGTATCATGAGTTCATACTGACACTTGCAAAACAAAATCAGGATCATATTTTTTCTTCTCTCACATAGAATATTCTCTCTCATTCTATTTGCTATTTCTGTTTCCTTTCTCTTCTACAAAATATCCTGGTTTTCAATGATAGCATTAAATTATTATGTCCATTCTCATTTTCTTTATCTCATGAGTACTACTTTTCTCATTGCTGTTGAATCCATTCCTTCTCCTAGCAACCCTATAGGACAGAATATTACTGTCCCACAAGGTTTGTTTTCTAGGCTGTATTTATGGAAGCAGACTACCACATCATTTTCCTGCAAAGTGGCTAGCGGGTTCGAACTACTGACTTTTGGTTAGCAGACAAGTTCTTTAAACACTACATGACCTGGGCTCCTATACCTTAAAACACACATGCAATTAATATCCCAGAGAACAATACCAACACTACCATCACTAATTTGATGCTGAAAAGATTGCTTTTTTTCTCTTTTTTTAATTCCTAAAGTATATTTCCAGATGCTCTGCTGGTACAGTAGCTGCTAACCAAAAGTTCAGTGGTTTGAAGTCACCAGCCACTCCACAGGAGAAAGATGAGGCAGTCTGCTTCCATAAAGATTTACAGCTTTAGAAACCTATGGAGCAGTTCTATTCTGTCCTATAGAGTTGCTGTGAGTTGTAATCAACTCAATGGCAGTGGGTGTGGTTTTTCAGTTAAGGTTCACCACTAGGAATTTACTGTCAAATTACTGCTCCCAACTGACTTGGAATAGCTCCTCTTCATTTTGTTATGCCATCAACTCAATCTACATTCAGGTTCATTTGTTTTATTTTAGTTTTGATTTACAGAGATGACGTTTTAAAATTATTTATATAGTCTCCATGTAAAATCTACAAAACAAAATATATGCAAATAAACTTAGCTTCTGTGTCTTCTCCTTCTACTTCTATTATTTCCCTCAACACACCCCTCATGTTCAACATTATTAATCATTGAAAAAAACAAAAACAAAACCCATTGCCACTGAGTCTATTCCAACTCATGGCAACCCTAAAAAAAAAGAGTAGAACTGATCCACAGGGTTTCTAAAACTGTAATCATTACAGAAGTAGACTGCCACATCTTACTCCCATGGAGTGGCTAGTGTGTTCCAACTCACAACTTCAGTGGTTAGCAGCTGAGCACTTTAACCACTACAACACCAGGCCTCCATTAGGTATTGCAGAGAGGCAATCAAAACCACTATGATATATCACCTCACTCTCATTGGAATGGCAATGACAAAACAACAAACCAGAAAGCAGCAGGTGTTGGAAGGGTTGTGGAGAAACTGGAACTCTCATCCATTGCTGGTAAGAATTTGAAACAGTGCAACCATTGTGGAAAAAGGATTGAAAAAAAAAAGTTGAACATGGAACTACCATATGACTAAGCAACCTCAATCCGAGGTATAGAGCCAGAAAAAGGCAGGGACATAAACGGAAACTTGTACACCAAGGTTCATGGCAGCACTTGTCACAATAGCCCAAAGGCTGAATCCACTGAAATGTCCATAAACAGATGAATGGATAAACAAGATATGGAAAGCATATGCAATGGAATATTATGCAGCCATAAAGAGAAATGGTTCTGTTGCATGATATTACATGGGTGAATCTTGAAAACATTATGTTGAGTGAAATAAGTCAGTTGCAAAAGTACAAATACTGCATGATCTCACTTATATAAAGTAATGTATAGAAACCAAAGATTATGAATGGTTATAAGGGATGGGAGGGAGGGGAAAAGGGAAAATTTTTGTTGGGGGGGGCACTGATTTCATGGTAACAGTGGTGGAATATTTTGGAAATAATAGTGATAATGGTGACACAACATGAGGAATGTAATCAATGTCATTGAAATGTCAATGCGAAGGTGGTTGTATTGGTAAATGTTTGGTGTGTATAGTGTCACTACAGTAAAAAAAAAAAAAAAAAAAGAAGCAAGAAGAAAAAACATTAAGATTTGATAGGGAGAAGTGGTATGTTAACTCTGTACTTTTCCATCAGTTTAAATTTACTTAATTCAATTCAGTAATTTCAATTATTTAATAATGAAATTCTCAGTTTGGTTTTGAATATGTAATGCATTCACACAATTCAAATTCAAAAGGTACAGAAAGGTATGCTATGAAACTTGTTTCCTTTCCATGTATATTCCAACCACTCCCTGTTCTAGAGGCAACTACTATTACACTTTCCTTCAGGAAAGCATCTGTTAATTCACAGGCAAGTTTATAAATCTCCATCACCCCCACTTTTACTAGTTTTTACATGGCACAACTTCATTGGAAATAAAAAGATTTCCAGTCTTGGAAATCCTATGCAGCAGTTCTATTCTGTTCTGTAGGGTTGCTATGAGCCAGAATCAATGGATGGCAAGGCATTGTACACATATACACATATTCATAGCTCCCCATTTCTTAGAAAAAAAGATCATTATTATAAATTATAATTAATATTTAAAAGTATTAATATACCTAATATATGAACATAATTACTATATATATATTACTATGATTATGATAACATAAGATATATAATATGAACACAATATAAAATAATATGTATTCAATTATATGTATGTATATAATTTTCATATAATCTTCAACTCTGGTTCATTTGATGTGGTTTTCTTTCTAAGTTTTGGCATTTTGAAGTGTTTGTATTTTTGCTTTAATGTTATTAATATTGATATTGTTCTATAATAATCTTAGTCTCTTCTCTTATTTTGTTTGTCTTTTGGTGCTCTATGAGTCCTGGTGGCTCACTAGTTAAGCACTTGGCTGCTAACTGAAAGGCTGGAGGTTTAAACCCACCAGCTGCTCTGTAGGAGAAAGATGTGGCAGTCTGCTTCTATAAAGACTACATCTTCAGAAACTTTCTGGGGCCGTCTACACTTATAGGGCCAGTCTAGTCTTATAGTCTTATAGGGTCACTAAGAGTAGGAATCAATTTGAAAACAATGGGTTTGGTTTGGTTTTAGTAGTTCTCTATTCTTAGCA